TTTTGGACACGTTTAAACAAAAATCCGTCCAAGTTTTGTCCAAGTAAAAATAACCAACACGTACTTGAATTCGAAAAACAACTCATTTGAGAATAAAATAACAATTTCCAAGTTTTGACTTAACCCTCGATCACAAAACCAAAACCATTCGTTGGTATTTGCCTAATCCAATACAATCAAAATAATTATATTTGAATAATTTTCCAGAGGTCTGTATACAACTAAAATTGATATTCTGTCTTACTGCGAAATTTAATATGAAACACACAAATATTTATTTTAAAGAGCATAGCGAAAGTGTTTTACAAAACAAAGTCTTTTGGAACGCGTGTTGAAGAGAATTAGGCATTCGTTAATAAATATGGAAGTGCTATTTGGTATGGTTCTGATGAAGATATGTTATAACCATAGATTTTCTTTTTTTTGATCGATGCCCTTTCTTTTTATTTACAAAAAATGATTTGTTTTGCGTGATTATTAAATAATTATAAGAAGTGTGTGTCAGCTGAACACATGGATGTTGATTATCCTTCGCTTCCTCATCTTAATGAAATAAAACTCCCATTCTTTTAAATTACGGCTCCTCATATCAACAAGGTTTCGCATACTTGAAAATTAATAAAGTGTCAAAAGAATTCTCTTAAAAAATTGGAGAATAAGAAGACATCGGAAGATTTACATACTCTTGCACAAAAGGGTATACCATTAAAACAGCCCAGACCATCACAGGAATTGATGCAGCTCATAAAATCCACAAGAGCTTGGTCGGGATCTGAAAACTTTTGAATATTTCAAGTCCCACTTGAAAGGATCGACATAATCACAAAAAGAACACGGACAAAACTTAATGCGACAGAAGGGAATTATCATCACCATCACAATAATTATTAGTTTGATTACTTTGAAATTATGATTGTCCAACTAATTTAACTTGATTAATTAAAAATGAAAAGAAATCATTTTAAGGCATTAATAATTATAATTATTGTAATAGCAATAAGAAATACCTATTCATTTTTAATTTTGCAGGAATATTTTTTTTCACAAAAAATAGTTAATTTGAAATCATATTTATTATTATTAATATAATAAATTGTTACATTTATTTTCAAACTCTATTAGTAATATTAACATCAAGAATGAAAATTTAGGTATATAGTAATTATTGAATTTATAGTAATTATATATTATAATCACTTTAATTATTGACTTTAAATTTTACATAAAATAGAATATATTAATATAAACATTCTTTATTTTTTTCTGGCAAGCAATATGATATATTTTGTTAGGCAGAGTATATATATATTTGTGCGTGTGTGTAATAAATAAATATATTTAACTATAAGTTGTTCTCCAAATCTTTCCTTGATAAATATGCTTTTTCTACCCATGATATCATATCAACGTCTGTATTTTCATATTTTTTCAAAAATGGATGTTCCAATAATTGTGCATATGTTGGACGTTCATCAGGTAACTTTTTCAGACTATATATATGATAAATAAATATAGAAATAGAGAACGAGAATGAGAATGAATGTTGCTTAAACGTA